TTATCACAAAGACCCGTATAGGTAGTATTGCCTTAGTTAACTTAATGGTTTTGATGTAAAGAGGAAAGAATTTCTAAAGCCCTTTGTGCAATCTTTTGTTTTAATCTGTTTGACAATGTTAAGGAATGATGATGAACACTGTGCCCTTTTTTCGAAATTTATAAAACTATAGATTTTCATCCACATCCTCTTAGAAAGATTGAACGTGATTGTACAGAAATACAAAAAAATCCCGGAAACGAACGTTGAAGATAAGACTTTAGTTATTAGAGATGGCATATATTCAAGGTCCGTCCGTATTAAAAGGAATGTTTCGCACCAACATGCTCCCCAGTGGCACAGCGGTATGTCTGCGGACTTACATCGCTAGAATCCGGGTTTCGATAACCGTGGTGGGCAGAGCACAGATAGCCCATTGTGTAGCTTTATGCTTAATTAGAAGGAAAAAAAAACACATCAACATGGCGGCCTTAACTAACTTTTCTAAATTCAATAAAAACTGGACATCGAACGAAATCTGTGACAACAATTACATTAACTTGTTTCCCTATAAATCAATAAACGTTTTTACATATCATCCTTTTTTTTTTACAGATTATCTTCTCATCACTCTTGTTCTCGATATTTGAACTTATAGAACTGATATAGCTATAGATGTCCTAGTCCTACCTATGTACGTTTCTGTATCAGCTACAATGTAATAAGCTGTAATATATTACAAAACGAAAAAGTAACGCATCATCATGAACGAGTCCATCGTCAACATTGAAACAGGAAACAACTTGTCTGCATAAAAGCTTGAACCAATTCCTACGTTATCTTAATGAGTCTAACGTATACCATTTCCATCGATTTACAGCAGACGAAGTCTAGTTTTTACACGTTATATGGAGTTCATTATGTTGCGGTTAAAGCCCATAAATCGCATTACTTTTCATTAAAGTTTATTCTAGGACAAAGAATGTTCCACATCGCTGACTGTAATTCAATACTATTTAAATATTTGTTTTACACGATCAATAAAGCTACTACTACCACTACCTGGTGTCCCTTGTTGTTAGATATACTATAAGAGAGAAGTGACATTGCTCGAGTAAGCTCCAGTTTTCTTTCTCGTTTTCGTCACAGCGAGCTCCAGTTTACTTCATTTTTATCACCACAGAAATCTCCATTTTACTTTATTGTTACCACTACGGAGAACTTCAGCTGCAGAGGGTTTCAATTTTATTATTCGTTATTACCACAGAAAGCGCCAATTTTATTCTTCGTTATCACCACAGAAAGCTCCAATTTTATTCTTCGTTATCACCACAGAAAGCGCCAATTTTATTCTTCGTTATCACCACAGAAAGCGCCAATTTTATTCTTCGTTATTACCACAGAAAGCTCCAATTTTATTCTTCGTTATCACCACAGAAAGCGCCAATTTTATTCTTCGTTATCACCACAGATAGCTTCAATTTATATCCTCGTTGTCATCATAGAAATATCCAGTTTTCTTTCTCGTTTTCGCCACAGAGAACTCCATTTTTACTTTCTTATTATTTCCATAGAATATTCCAGTTTTCTTTCTCGTTATCGTCATAAAGAGCTCCAGTTTAATTCGTCCTTGATTAGCATACTTCGCTGAGTACAAACACTAATTAATAAATACGGATTTCTTTATCTTTCACTGTGCTTTGTTTTATTAAATTACAATAAACAAAAGCTTTCAATTAATTAGCCAACCTACCCTAGTATAAAAAACGTCAACTGCATTACACAGTCAAAACTTGTTTAACTGTTTGTCCCGTAAATGCAGTTCTTCAGCTATTCACCGTTACACATCTGTATTATACCCAATTTTTATAATATCGTAATTGAGCTGTAACTTGCAATCCAAATTTATTGTAATGTTTCATGGAATAATCAAGTACTACGAAACTTCTATGTTGTTGATGAGTTTTGTTTAAAACGTGTCAGGCTACGCATAATTTTTTTTTCTAAAACATTGATATTAAACTTCTCTACAACTCCGAAGTCTATGTTCACCGAAAGATAGTAATGTAGTGTTTTATGTTTTTTATGAATCCCACAGACACATATGCATATATAAATATATAGGTGCTTAAAATATTAAATAAGTAGATGCCGTAATTCAAATTAAACTCACGTTCACGCGTTTAACTAAACACAATACTGAAAATAAGGGAACGTTTAAAGCTAACTACCGCTTTGTAAAACACGGAGTCACGTTTCACAAATGATTGAAATTGGGAATATCAGTGTTTTAAATGAGAACGATCGAACGACTTTGCTACATGCAAAATGGTTTGTTGATGAAAGTGTTGCTAGGTTTTATTGTTTTCAATAAGACACGATTATCGTTTGTTAGCAGGATAAGCCTGTTATGGTGGTATATAACAATATTTCTTATCTCATATTTACTCTTTGTAACGTTCTCTAGCAATATATATATATATATACTCTATATAATTTAATAAATGTAACAGCTTATAGAAATACCTCGTATCTCAGGTTTTCTCATTGCAACGATATGTAATAATACGATTAAACAATTAGACAGAGAGTATATTGTTACAGACTGTTGTAATAAGAAAGCTTGAGATACGAGGCATTATTATAAGCATTATTATCTTTCTAATATGTTATTAATTTTATGAGCTTATAATAA